CGTGTCTCGCTCTCCCCAGGGAGGAGAGCAAACGCAGGCGTGCGTTCCTCGCCGCTGCAGCGCCCCGTCCGGACTCCTCTCAGGACGAGGAGTCTGAGACTGACTGGGCCCCACTCGACCTTCCACCTGTGCCCGCGGAGTGGGGTGACTGCAAGGATGGAGAGACTTCGGAGATCGGCTCCCTCCTCACCCTGGACGAGGTGGTCTCGAACCCGGAGCCGGACCGCTTCCCACTGGACCACATGCCTCGGCTCTACTCCGCCGCGGCGGCCATCATGGATGCTCCTCTGCCACCGCAGCCGGTCCAGAGGGCGGAGGACTTCACCTCTGGGCCCGCCACCACTCGAGGGAGGAGGAGGATACAACCCACGTTGTACCCGCGGATGGACCCGATCGTCCATTACGCGACACGTGAGTGGCCAAAGCCCCTGGCAGCCAAGAGGCCTGCTCTGGGGTACAGCATGTATTGCAGCGTGCAAGACTGGTCCTGGACCGGCGGGGTCCCGGACATCGAGGACTCAGTCCGCATGGCCCTGCAGCCCTCCGCATCCGTGTGGCCCGGCACCAGACCTCTCCTTCCCTCCGAGGGGGAAAGGATGTCGTTGGCTATGCTGGATAGATGTTACGCCAATGCGGCACAGGTCGTCAAATTGGCAAATAACATGGCTTTCATCACGGGGGCCCTGGATAGGTCGCTCTCCTCTGGCCAGGCGCTCAGTGGAGACCTCCTATCGCAGGCGAGGACCACCTCGGCGGCGATCCTGCGCATGTGCCAGGCGCTAGCTGTGGATGGCGGCCGCTCCATGGCAGCAGCTCAAGTCGGGGCCAGGCACCTTTGGCTTGGGCTAGCTAACATCAGGGAGGCGGAGAAGAGGCAGCTGCTGGACCTGCCTGTTTTCCAGACGTCCCTCTTCGGCCCGGACATGCAGGCCCTGGTGGCTAGACTGGAGGCTGCAGCCAACGACACGGCTAGGCTAGCCCCGCACCTAGCACCGAGGCGCGAGGCCCGCCCACCTTCACGGAGCCGGGACAGAGGCAGGGAGCGTTCGCCCGGGAGGCGTCCTGACCCGTATCCACGCTCTGTGGTCCATTGTCCCCCCTCGACGAGGCCCCCGGGTCCAGACAGACCCACGGGTGGCTCGCGGGAGCAACGCACCCACCGCCGACCTCCCTATGGCAGAGGAGGTTGGGGTGGAAAGAATTCCTTCAATAAAAGGCCGACCGGCATTTCATCATTACTCGTTGTCTGAGTCTCATTTGGGGGTGCGTAACATGTCTACTGTGAATTCTGATTGTGTTACTTCCCGGGCACATAACGTTGCTTCGCTAGGCCTGCAGCCCCCAAAGCAGGGTGTGCAGTGCGCTACGTGAGCTACGAGCTCCGGTCCCCTGATCCAGACTATGCCCTCCCAGAGAGAGGTCAGGCGGAGGGATCTGGTGAGTAGTGATGTGTGTGCTTCGGCCGAACGCGTGTTAGCCTCTCTGAGCTACAAGGCTAACACGGGGTTTCCCACTCCAGGGGCTCGCCCCCCCCTCCATGAGGCAAGAGCCGGGGGGGGCGCAGCAGCCGAGTCACGTGGTATGAGCAGACCCGTACTTATGACGTCGGGCCTGCAGGACACGTGACCGCCCCCGGCGCACACGGTATGACGCAGGGGGCCCCCCGGCCCTTTCGTCCACCCCCCCTCCCTGCTAGGAACACCAGGAGAGGGCGGGGCTGTGATGTCTCGTGTCCCAGCTCCCGTCCCGCCCCTCACAGACTTCTACAGCATCTGGAGGGAGCAGGGATTGCTGACGGATCCATGGCTGGAGAAAACATTGCGCAGGGGTTACGCACTGCAGTTCTCCCGAAAGCCACCACCACTCCGAGGCGTACGGGCAGCACGCTCTCAGGTACGGGGATCATTAGTGGCACTACAAGCGGAGGTCTCCTCTCTGCTGAGTCGAGGCGCAGCAGTGGAGGTAGACCCACAGGACGCCACCAGGGGGCTGTACTCCCCTTACTTCTTGGTGCCAAAGAAGTCAGGCGGGGTGCGTCCCATTTTGGATTTGCGCGTTCTGAACGAGTGCATTTCCATACGGCAGTTTCGGATGCTGTCCACAAAACGGCTCCTCGAGTGTGTCAGGCAGGGAGATTGGATGTCCTCCATAGACCTGACAGACGCTTACTTCCACGTGCCGATAGTTCCGGAACACAGGAGGTTCCTGCGCTTCGCAGTGGGAGAAAGGAATTACGAGTACTGCCGTCTCCCCTTCGGCTACGCACTCGCGCCTCGGACTTTCTCCAAGTGCGTGGAGGCGGCACTGGAGCCGCTCAGACGCGCAGGGGTAAGAATATTAACCTACATAGACAATTGGTTAATACTGGCCTCATCCAGGGAAGTGGCCGTGAGTCAGTCACGCACTGGGTCCTGTCCCACATACAGCGCCTGGGCTTTGTGGTGAACAGGGAGAAAAGCAAGCTGCAGCCGGCTCAGCGCATGATCTATCTCGGCCTGCAGCTAGACTCTGTGACATTCCGTGCTGCATTGTCCGTGGACAGACGGATGAACATTACCCGTCTGGCCAGGGAGGTTCTGGCGGGCCCCAGGGTCCCCGCTCGGCGCCTCAAGTCCCTGCTGGGAATGATGGCGGCGGCTCATGCTGTGGTGCGGCTAGGCCTTCTCCACATGAGGAATTTTCAGAGGTGGTTCTCACGCCTCAGGCTTCACCCCTCCCGGGACGGGGGGAGGCTTATCTGGGTTCCCCAAGTGGCAGCATCGGACATCAGGTTTTGGCTCACTCCGGGTCTATTGCGGGACAGAGTGACCCTGGCCTGCGCCGTGTCTCACGTGGAGGTGTTCACGGACACGTCACTTGAGGGTTGGGGCGGGGTCCTCGGCCAGAGCTCTGTAGGAGGCTGCTGGACGGACTCAGCCCGCCACATCAACCTGCTGGAGATGGATCAGTACATAGGGTACTGCTGCACTTTGCTCCTCAGCTGCAGGGGAGACACGTGATGGTTCGCTCAGACAACACCACAGTGGTCTCTTATCTGAACAGGCAGGGGGGCACCAGGTCCCCCGCCCTCCATCGCATGGCGACGGTGACGCTGCTGTGGGCGGCGCTTCCCCTTCTGTCTCTGAGGGCGCGCCACGTCCCGGGTGTCCGGAACGTGGGGGCCAACAGGATGTCCAGGGGGGGCCCACTCCAGGACGAGTGGGGCCTGGCCCCACGGGTGGCTGCGGAGATCTGGCGGAGGTTCGGCCGTCCAGTGGTCGACCTTTTCGCCAGTGCAGAGAACGCACAGTGCCTGTCCTGGTTCGCCTTAAGGGCCGCGGATGAGCCGCCCTTAGGCGTGGACGCTCTGGCTCATTACCCCTGGCCGGAGGGCCTGCTGTATGCCTTCCCGCCAGTGCGTCTCCTGCCGGTCCTGCTGCGGAGGATCGAACAGGAGAGGAGGTCGGTGATCCTGGTGGCTCCGGACAGTCCGCATGCCCGGTGGTTCTTCTTCCTGAGGGGCATGGCGGTGATGGATCCCTGGGCCCTCCCGGACGAGCCGGGGGCTCTAGTCCAGGGGGGGGGAGCCCTGTTTTCACGCCCGATAATCGGCCGCAGGCTCTGGGTTTGGAGGCTGAGAGGCGGAACCTCGTAGACCTGGGTCTTCCCCCGGCGGTGGTGGAGACCATTCAGGGGGCGAGGGCGCCGTCCACTGTGAGGGCCTACGCCACCAGGTCGAGGCTCTTCAGCGACTGGTGCGGTTCTCGCTCCTGGGATCCCAGGTGTTGTCCGCTGGAGGGGGTCCTGGGGTTCCTACAGGAGCTTTTTGACAAAGGGAGGGCTGTCGCCACCTTGGCGGTGTTCGCGGCAGCCATTACCTCGGGTCACGACGGATTCGGGGGGTTCACAGCCCGCTCTCATCCGTTGGTTAAACGTTTTCTGCGGGGGGCGCGCAGGAGGAGGCCCCCGCTTTAGAGAACGCCCCCGGTTTGGGACCTCAGGGTGGTCCTTAGGGGTCTGTCGGGTCCGCCTTTTGAACCGGCGGCGGAGGCGAGTCCCGAGTGTGTCGCTTTTAAGACGGCCCTCTTGCTGGCGTTGGCATCTGCTAAGAGGGCGGGCGACTTGTGTGCGCTCTCCGTCCATGCGTCTTGCCTGTCCTTTGGAGAGGGCGACGGCATGGTGGAAGTGTGGCCCAATCCGGCTTTTCTCTCCAAGGTCATCACGTCGGCCTTTAGGTCGAGAGTCATCAGGATTAGGGCATTCTATCCGCCGCCGCATGCCTCCCCCGAGGAGGAGCGGCGGCACCTTCTGTGTCCTCTCAGAATGCTTAGGCATTAGCTGGCCATGACGTCGTCGTTCAGGTTGGGTGATCAGCTGTTTGTGTGTCTGGGCCCCAAGAACAGGGGCGCCCCGCTGTCGGCTCAGCGGCTGGGGGTATCCTTGGGAGGAGTGGCCCTGTAACACGCAATTGCGTCTTCTGCCCTGAGTCCTCTCACCTTGTGAGGGTCTTGCTCGGGCGGAGCTCCAATCACTCTTCGCTGGCCTGCTGGGAGTACATGTTCCTACGGCCTCCGCGTTGTGTCCCACTAGCGAAGTCCTAAGGGACGTAGCACCATGACGTAGAATTAATAATGTAACTTATATAACTAATGTAACTTAAGTTCTACGAATAGGTGCGTAGTCCCTTAGCTACGAGCCCATCAGGCCAGCCCGGCTTGGCAGAGTTCAAGAGGGGGTGCGGCCTTGTGCAGGGGCCTTTATAGAGGAGGGTCGCTAGTGATTGGAGCAAATTATTTTGATCTCTCTGGCGTGTGACCTGGGGGTCACGAGTGATATCCCACTAGCGAAGTCCTAAGGGACTACGCACCTATTCGTAGAACTTAAGTTACATTAGGTAACTATTAATTCCTGAAGGAAACATGGCACTTTTCCATTGTTGTGTATACCATGTGTGCGTGTCTTATTTTGATTCCACACAACATCCTATTCAGTTATCAAAACGCACATATAAAAAGTCATACCTTCACTGTATCATTGTTGCCTTGTAGCTGGCCGATGGCCTTTTCTACTTCAGAAACCCCACAACTTATCTCAGCTTGTTTTTCTGCTACTTCACTCTGAAAATAAAAACATAATAATAAAATAGAAAAAACATACAATTCCAAACCTTGCCAACACATGGAAACAACAGTTACCTCAATTTTGGCCCGTGCCTCCGCCACAGACGCAGTCACGTGACCACCATGCGCCTCCGTCTCGCAGCTGGAGCAGACGCAGAGGCCGTGCTCCAGGCAGACGCGCACCAAGGGCAGACTGTGCACGTCACACGTGGGGCACTCGATGTCATGAAGGGGCTCGACCAGTCGGTGATTTTCAAACTTCACGTTTTCCAAATGTGGCCTCAGATGGGACGTGCAGTAGGACACCAAACAAGTCAGGCAGGATTTTTCAGCGCGACTTGGACTGCCCATGCAGGAGTCACACATGACTTCTTTGTTTAGCGACTTCTCTTCCGCGGAAATCTGATCCTCTTGGCTGGAGTTGTTGGTAGACGCCATGGTGAAATGATCACTCTTGTGTTGAACTTATCTCCTGTAATAAACTCCACTCTGCTGCAGATTTCAGCTACGCTGCAGACATCTTGAACGCATAAAGAGAGAAAAATGCAAACCACGCCTAAAGTTTTTGTTCCTATCCAGTGTACTCACTTTACAGCCCTCCCAGTCCCATAACAGAGCTTAGGAGATACGAGTGATACAGGAAAGGAAATGACAAGTGCATCATAGGAAGTGAACATCCCATTGCTTTGGTCCAAAAATGACAAAAATAATGTGTATATCTGTGTAAAAAGGGGGGGAAATTATCATAGACTAAATATAGAACCATTGTTGTGGTGAGTATGACAATGTTCATTTTGCCCAAGTAAAGGCTGTCAGGACTGGCACAGAAGTTTTACACAAAAACGGTAAACATTTCAACTGTGTGTTGTCAAATTTAGATACAGTTAGCACACAAGAACAAAAATAATTCTCTAACAAGAGAAGTAAAATTATGAGAAACATTTTTCCTCCAATTTTAAGTTTAGTCCCCTGTGGTTGTTATGGCTATTGCATCCTAAGTCTCCAACCAGGAAGTAACATTATCAATCTTACTAAACATTGGAAGTAGGATAAACTAAAGGCCACATTTTTTATTAAAATATAAAAACCACCTCAACATGAAATGAGTGGTGGAACTGTTAACTTTAAACTTGAGATTTGGGTAGGAAACAGTAACTCTTTTTATCTTTGAAGTTGTTTTTGAGGGGTCATTTTACATGGGAAGTGTTTGAGGGAACATGGGGGGGCAAGGGGTATCCAGTGAACAACAATGTCTTGTCAGAAGCATGCAACACACAGATAAAATGCTTCCGGACTTCACAGCAGGTTACGCTCATGTTGCAATATCCATGGTTGTAATCCACCGCATACGGGAGTTTCTACTGTTTCCAAAGAGTGACCAAATAAGGAAATACAAATTTCGCCACATTTCAGGCTTCAAACATAAAGATATAAAAACATATTTTTTTGTCATGAATCAACAACAAGTGGGACACAATCGGGAAGTGAAACAAAATTTATTGGATAATTTAAAAAAAATTAACAAATAAAAAGCTAAAAAGTGGGGCGTGCAATATTATTCGGCCCCTTTACTTTCAGTGCAGCAAACTCACTCCAGAAGTTCAGTGAGGATCTTTGAATGATCCAATGTTGTCCTAAATGACTGATGATGATAAATAGAATGTACCTGTGTGTAATCAAGTCTCCGTATAAATGCACCTGCTCTTTGATAGTCTCAGGGTTCTGTTTAAAGCGCAGAGAGAACCATGAAGAGAAAGGAACACACCAGGCAGGTCCGAGATACTGTTGTGGAGAAGTTTAAAGCCGGATTTGGATACAAAAAGATTTCCCAAGCTTTAAACATCTCAAGGAGCACTGTGCAAGCAATTATATTGAAATGGAAGGAGTATCAGACCACTGCAAATCTACCAAGACCCGGCCGTCCCTCCAAACTTTCATCTCAAACAAGGAGAAGACTGATCAGAGATGCAGCCAAGAGGCCCATGATCACTCTGATTGAACTGCAGATAACTACAGCTGAGGTGGGAGAGTCTGTCCATAGGACAACAATCAGTCGTGCACTGCACAAATCTGGCCTTTATGGAAGAGTGGCAAGAAGAAAGCCATTTCTCAAAGATATCCATAAAATGTCTCGTTTAAAGTTTGCCACAAGCCACCTGGGAGACACACCAAACATGTGGAAGAAGAAACCGCTCTGGTCAGATGAAACCAAAATCAAACTTTTTGGCCACAATGCAAAACGATATGTTTGGCGTAAAAGCAACACAGCTCATCACCCTGAACACACCATCCCCACTGTCAAACATGGTGGTGGCAGCATCATGGTTTGGGCCTGCTTTTCTTCAGCAGGGACAGGGAAGATGGCTAAAATTGATGGGAAGATGGATGGAGCCAAATACAGGACCATTCTGGAAGAAAACCTGTTGGAGTCTGCAAAAGACATGAGACTGGGACGGAGATTTATCTTCCAACAGGACAATGATCCAAAACATAAAGCCAAATCTACAATGGAATGGTTCACAAATAGACGTATCCAGGTGTTAGAATGGCCAAGTCAAAGTCCAGACCTGAATCCAATCGAGCATCTGTGGAAAGAGCTGAAGACTGCTGTTCACAAACGCTCTCCATCCAACCTCACTGAGCTCGAGCTGTTTTGCAAGGAAGAATGGGCAAGAATTCCAGTCTCTCGATGTGCAAAACTGATAGAGACATGCCCCAAGCGACTTGCAACTGTAATTGCAGCAAAAGGTGGCGCTACAAAGTATTAGCGCAAGGGGGCCGAATAATATTGCACGCCCCACTTTTCAGTTTTTTATTTGTTAAAAAAGTTTAAATTATCCAATAAATGTCGTTCCACTTCACAAATGTGTCCCACTTGTTGTTGATTCTTGACAAAAAATAATAATTTTATATCTATGTTTGAAGCCTGAAATGTGGTGAAATGTTGAAAGGTTCAATACTTTCGCAAGGCACTGTATCTTCGACATACATATCAAAATCAATAATGCACAGATTAAGAAAGGGTAGTTTATAAGATATAAATAACCGCTGTTAGACTCTGGACTCTTTGAGACACTCTTATTGTAAGCAACGTACCGTAACAAAAAGGGGATAAAGTCAAAAGAAGCAAAAGGAAATGTACAGTAGTTTCTTTGAGCAGGTAAATAACTGCTGATATCAAGTGCTTGTTTGTGCCTTTCATTAAACTTTAACAAATGTGGCTTCACTGAGTCATTCAGACACTAAAAACAGAAATATTTATTGCACACTTTTACCACAGTTGGCAGGACTTTTCTTTGAAGCAGCTTTATATTATGTTCTGATGAAAGTGTGTTTGATAGCCATGTACTGTGTTCTCATTTACTTTGTGTAATTTGTACAACAAATGATAAAGGTGTTATTGTACGCTCTACATTCTTGTATATTTTAATTTAGTTGCACTTTCATATCAAATAATGCTCATTCATCAATGAAGTTCATCATATCCTTTTTTGGCCCCTCCGCCCAAGATAAGGTTTGACTTCTATTATAACACTTGGCTGACTTACAACATGACCAATAATGAGGTCACTTTGAGCAAGCTACTGACTTATTTATGACAAACAGCAATTATGTGTACTCCTTACAACTACTGTTTAAATATTATTTCATTATTATAAGGCAGAATTCTACCATTTACAAAAGCACACCTTCAGCAGGATAAAATTATGCCTGTTCAACAGAAATGGCTATTCCCATATTATCACTCAGATGGCAGGTCACATGGTCACCTAGTGGCCAAGCCAGGAAAATAAAAACACATTTCAAAAAGTGAAACATTTAGATTTGCTTTTAAAATAAGTCGACAAAAAATAATATAATAGAAAATTGCAATGTGTGTAAAAAAGTGTTCTACCAGATTTTTAACTAGACCAGACAATTTGATCAAATGCGTAACAATAGTTCATTTATTTGTGTTCACATGCATTTGCAGAAACACAAGTTGTCATCACAGGCATATACATCTTTTTCTTCTAAATTGTGTTTTGTGTTCTGTGCTTGAGGTTGACTTTGCCAGACAAACATAGGATAACTGCTCACCCTACATTATGCCACACATGGTATGATCTAATGTAAACATGCACATAATACGAGAAGTACTAAAATATTATAAAACACATATACAAGCATATTTTATGGCACAATGCAGACACATGGTATGGCCAGATTTACCCCACAGGGGCAACATATTACCGGGAAACAGGGCCCACAATAACCTCTCTGTTAACCATGCTGCATGGCATTAAGGAACAAAGAATGGCACTGAAGTCGGGGAACTCTCATTCAGTTTGTTTGGCCATGCAGCACATGAAACCCCTATGGAATTTCTCTATGAACTGCACTGCCACAGAACGGTGACACCCCATCTGCTCTGATTGAAAATACTGTTGTGTTTTTTGTTTTTGTTTTTTTGTGGTGTTACACAGGCTCCATTGTGCATTGTTACAGTGGGTCACCAAAGTCATAAATTCCTGTCATCTTTACACTAATTTGTGAGATTCATTTATCTCCAGTGACCTTTAAACTGGTTGAGCCCATGGCCCACAGACCATGAATTCTAATTGTATCTTCATAGCAACAGATAGAACGACTAATAAGACCATACGTCTTGTCAGATTTAATATCGGACTTGCCGTACTTACAGTTCAGTATCCTCTATAGTCTCTGGATCTTCTATTGTCTCTAGTCGTCTTTTACAGGCGTCTAAAATCTTTTTCCGAGGACCTAGGGGAATGTGAATACTCTTCAGGTCATTGTCTGAGCACAGCAGCAGGGCTTCAAGGTCAATCTTCTCCCGTTTGAAGATAGAGAAGAACTCACTCATGCTCTGTGTGGCCAAAAACACTTCTAAAGGACTGGAGTCAGCTTCGTCGTCATCGTCCAGGCCTAGTTCTACCTCATCCCAAGGCACCTCGTCAATGTTCCTCTCCTGCAGGCTCCGGGCGCTACCTATACTGTCTTCATCCATGCTGGTGTAAGGCTGCAGTGTACTACGCAGCCGAACAGTATTATCAGACTGCGACACGCTCATATCGTCCCTCCGTCCGAGCTCGAACATCCCCCCACTTACATAGTTCCTTCTGAAGACCATGGTGCCCAGTCCTGGTCTGTTAAAGAGGGAGTCGTGCCCTGAATCAGTGCTGATCTCAGAGTAGTCCACATCCGGTCCATGGAGGTCCGGCTCGCTCATGGCACGTGAGATTGCGTCGTCGTTCTCTCTGGGGAACATGTCGCGAACGTTACGGCGCCCGCGCTCTTTGGCGGTCACGTAGGTCCCCTGTTTGACAAACATCACGTCGTTGCCCAGCTGAAGGCCGGATAGTGAGCGAACACTCTTCCGTCCATCCTCGTAAATCTTGAAGGTCCCATCTCCTTGTTTTCTCCTGTCCAACTTTTTCTGGATCTTTGCCTTGCCTCGATTAGTGGCATGGAGTGTAGCCTAGCACCAAGCACAAGTCAGTAACATCATGACAAGAAGAGATTTTAAGGACACAAATCTTGAACTAATGTCAGAATGTGGAATATGGAAGCACATGTGTCACTGTCACTTTACTCTCCTACTCGTCTGTGTGATAATAACTTTAATAATGTCAGAATGTGTGTGTGTGTGTGTGTGTGTGTGTGTGTGTGTGTGTGTGTGTGTCTGTGGCGCGCAGCACAACCACTGCTGTCTGGTACCGTCTTTTATCGCTGTTTTCCAGCTGTCTTCATTCCAAGAAGGCCATTTATTGAATCATAAACATAAGACTATATATTATTGGAACTAGGATACATAGTATTTTATACTTGCTGGAGATTTTATAGTTCAGACAGAAGACTGAGGCACTCAAAAGTTGCAAAAATCTTTAAAAGCCTTTTTTATGGCAAAAGAGGTTAAGCGTTTCAGCCTTCTGGCCGTCACACTTAGGCATAAATTCAACCTCTTTTGCCATATATAATAAAAGCCTTTAAAGATTGTTGCAACTTTTGGGTGCGTCAGTCTTCTGTCTGAACTTTCAACTTTGGTCCCTCCACTAAAGAGCACCACAAGTTAACTTTTTCCCTGATTTCATTTTTACATCTAAGAAGCACTCCAGCCCCGTCTACTGTTTTCAAGAAGAGATTTTATACTTGTTTCTTCTTCATGTTAGATTTTTATTTTATTTAGTATAGAGTTATTGTACATTTATCTTGTGCTGTGTGCTCCTCATTCCTAGTGTTCTGTAACTGGTGATGCAAAACTGAAATTCCCCCACTGTGGGACGATTAAAGGATGTCTTAATCTTAATCCTAAATAAAAAAGACTTACCTGAGAGTATGGCACGCTGACAGTTCCTGGGTTGAAGTTTCGCAGTTTGTGGCTGACGGAGCTGCCTGTATAACTTGAGAAACTCATGGCATCTGAAGCGGACGCCTCAGAAGAATCTTTGTGAAACTTCTTCTCCATTCTCCTCTGGTGTTTCTTCTGCATCTTCATACACTCCTTAATCCGTCGCTCTGCCTCTCGAAAAGCCCGATCTTTCAGTTTGCTGACCAGCTTGGGGTTGAGGCTGGTCTGCTTAGCCGCTATGGAATCCAGGTATCTGACACAGTCCATGTGATTCTTTGTAGCTGCCATGTCCAGTGGCGTGTGGTAATCATTGTCCAGGCACCAGATGTTGGCCCCGAAAGAAACCAGGAAGAACAGACAGTTCAGATGGCCATTGGCGGCAGCGAGGTGGAGGGGCGTGTTCCCCCATATGTCACACTTGTCTGGGTTTCCACTGTGAAGAACGGGGAACACATTGAACTGTTAAATCATTCAGAGGTTCAATTATAAACTGTAATGATCTGATCCAGTGCTTCCCAAAGTGGGGGCCGCAGAGCCGACTGCAGAAGGGCTTACATACAGTCATCGAGATTTATATCCTATTTACACTGCTTTGAGTTCAAAAAAGAAATACATGTTTTGTTTAAATTTAGAAGGAATAATGTATATAAATCCTATCTTATTTTGGAGTATAAGCAAACAGGTGAGAGATGAGTGGCACTTAGATGTTGGGTATTAGTGATCTAACCGAATAAACACATAGATTAAAGCAGGGGTGACAATTAAAAAAAGAGTTCCTATTTGACACTTTGGGCTGAGAGATGATTGACTGAGTGAAGGTGGTTTCACTTTTCTATTTGAAAAAAGATGATCTAAAGATGTGGTTGAGGTCAATGAATACATGCATGAAAACTAGTGATAGCACTCATTATAGTTAGGTACCCCAGCTTTAAACACATTCTGTTCAGAGCTGTGGTTTTCAATGAGTCACCAAACATTACTAATAAATGATATGGCCATCTGCTTGTCTGCTATAGCAACCAAATAACACCAAATAGTAGAGACAAGCCGGTGGTAAGCAATGTAAATCAGAAAAGTCGTATGGTTTTTCTTAAAAATGAAATGCAAAATTCAAACCAACAAGTAAAATGACTTCATAGCAATAATAATGAGCTGTTCTACAAGTGAGGCTAGACAGAGGCTATAAGTTTATGAATATATTTGGACAGCATTAACCCTTGGCTGACAGCCCGCGACCTCGGGGTTACCTTGTTATGTGCGTCGCATTGCCGTCTGTAACACGAGCACAGGCTTACCGGCATCACCACATTACACTATACCTGCGTGATCACGTTTCACACGACCCTTAAAAGCTGCAGTCTAAAAAGCATAACTTCTATTGGCCACAGCTGACATCATTGCACTGTATTTCATTCACAAATTTAAACACCAAAGAATTATAATGTTTCTTTCAGCTTGAAGGCCCCAATGGAAGACTTGCATCATATTACTGTATTAAGTAGCATCTAATAATGGATTGATTGGTCTTGAAATTATATTGGATTCAAATAGAAATGTCTACAGGACTGAGTGTTGTCTGTGCCTTCCGATGTGATCAATGTACCTGGTCTTTAATATTTTATGTCATGGTCGAGAAGCCACCGCGCAAATGTATTATTGATGTATTGCGTTGTAAAGTTTTCACAGGAAATGTGTCCGGAGTCTTTCAGCCTCTGTAGACATGAGTTCCCTCGGATTTGGACGTTTTTGTGAGAGAATAGATGATAAAAGAGCCACCGCTATTATGTAATGGGTAAAGATGCGGCCATCACATCAGAGATAAATCATAAACTCATCTACAAATAAAGGAACTAAAAGAGATGGTGACAAGGCAAACACAAAACTTATCACGATTTCTGTTTTGAAATGTACTATTAAGACTATATGAGATGCCAACTCAGAATTACAAGACAGCTTTATTATGCAGTTCACATAAGACGGCTACGACAAGAGATATGTTTACGAACTGTAAGTACAGCACCGCAGAGTGTCAAGTCGCCAATTAAACTTCCATTACAGAACAATATGACTTCTGCATGTCAATCAGGAGGCTATTTCAAGGTTTATTTTACTCTTTGATTTACATACATTTACAACAGCATGTACTTTTGCTGAATAATGTTTGGTACGTTGGTCCCCAATTACATGGTGAGACAATGAAACCATCAACCCATGAAACAGGTCAGCCAGAATGAATGGGGAATAGACTGAGAAGAGCAATTGCACTTGGGGGAATTAGAGTTGTGCATTCCATTATTTCAGAGGCATTTCACATTTGAATCCTCATTGAAATGGAGCAAATGAGCAATGAAGTTCAAGATGATTGGAATGATACCTTTGTTTTCACATTATGCCTTAATGCTGTCTTCATAAAACAATTTCAAACTCAATTTTGATGCAAGAGAAAATGGGAATTATTTATAAATGATCTTTTTGTACAATTAACTGTCATCTTCAATTAAAAAATAATAATGGGCCACAAGATTTTATTCAAATTAGTCTGATATTTCTTGTTATTTAATTCCATTATGTATCTACTTTCTCAAATGAGTATTTAGTTTCAATACTAGTTTTTGTATTTCAATGAATAGTTGATGTTCATACTTTTGACAACCCTATTCCATAACATAGACATAAAGTCTATTTGTACAATGGAAGTATATAGGCTGCTTTGTGGGCAATAAACCCCTAAAGAATGCACGTGCCTAAATATTTTGGATTTATACAAAGTCAAACTGTAGAACATGAGGGTTAGAGATTAAAAAAGAAAAAAAAATCTCATATTATGCTGACACATAAGATTCAGAGCTACTTTATTTTGTGTCAACTCTCACATAAATAAGAACTAAATGGGTCGTTGAGTTTGTTCGTCTACAGAGCGGGACTGGTGTTTACACAAAATTGCAGACCTCCTGTATATTAAAACTTTGACAGGGACAAGATAGTAAACGTCACAGTACCGTTGGATGGTCACATAAAACTTGTATTTCTCGCAGATATACGAGAAATACAAGTTTTACTTACACAAACTTCTCGCAGATAAGTGCATATTATACCCACCCCCTCGCCACAATCAGCCTGAGGGCCTCCAGGTTCCCATGGTAGGCAGCCCATAGCGTCGGTGTCATGCCATCTTCGTCCGGCGCGTTGAGTTCCTTCCTTGTGGCTTCTTTGAGCAGGTCCAGGTAGCCATCCCGGGCCGCCTTGTGGTACCTGTCATTCATATTGCAACGTTAATCCGCGCTTCTCGACTCCATTGTGCTCTCGCAGCGATAACAAGCACAGCATCCTCCAGCGTAAAAGGCTCCTGAAGCTGCTGCGTGCGCCATTTGTCCCACTAGCGCGCGTCCTGACCAGTGCGCTCCCCCGGGTCTCCAGAGGGACAGCGTGGTTACCAAGGAGATGACGCTCCGTCTGACAACAGGAGGCCAGGCAGTGCATACCAGCGCGTATCCTACACTGAAATCTACTGTATGTTCAATAGGCGAGTAAAACATGAAACAGGTCTGCTGGTCCCCATAGCGCCATCACATCAAAAAAGATACACCCATGGAGGTCAAAGGAAAAGACAAACCCACACCAACTATTGTTTCATGGAGTCTGTAATTATGACATAATAGGCAGACATTGGATACGTGCACAATGTCCTATACTGGTCCTGAAAACTGCTCCAATTCACATGCTTTTACTCTGTTGCCTCTACTGGCAGGCCCCGTGGTGCTGGGGGCTGTCAAGTTAGTGCTGATAAATGCAACAACTGACCAGGTCACGGTGTCACAGAGCTAAAAAGCACAATATGCATTCACCTACACGTATTGCACGTGTGTGTCCATGATGGAGGTCGACAATATTTTTTCACATTGACTAATTTTGCAAAGTCACCTCAAGTGTTCACACCTTCCAACACAAGGAAGGTTATACGACTCCCTGGATTTATGTTGAATCATTGTTTGAATAACAATACCATTGTTTTCTGTGTTTCCTACTATCTTTCAAAGCAGGTTCAGACAAAGAGGAATTATGACATTTTGAAATTAGGCCTAGTCCAGTTTTAAGACGTCAAACTAACATACGCAGTGAAAATAACAAAACAATACACTTGTTTTACAAAAATTTGTTTTACACAAAATACAAAATTCTATCGGGTATAATAGAATGGTGCATGTTTTCTTTCTTTCAGGAGTACCAAATGCTCAAACATATTATTTTAGAAAAATAAAACATTTATTTGAACCAAATATTGGTTCCATGGAAACTGATTTTGAACATATATCAAATTACAGTTTAATGATGATATGAAACAGGGCTGTTGGTAACTGATCTATTGACTTTTATGACTCTCTAAAGTAAACAAACTTCTCTGTAAAGGTTTATAAAAGACACATTGATAAGGATGCTCCACAATACCACACTCGGCCATGTAGGAATCCACATCGCACTGCATTTAATTTTAGAAACTTTTGGGTAACGCTTTATATTAAGGTGTGCTTGTTAAGTATTAATAAGGTATTAATAGACATTAGCAACATGCTTATATATTCCTTATATGTACTTATAAACATATTAATAAGCTGCTCATTTCACTATTCTCTAAATGATGTTGTTCTAGTTATATGCTTTTAAGCATTTAATAAGTAATTAGTAAGATACTTATTAAAGGAGGAATATGTTTATAAATATATGAATAAGCTGCTTATTAAACTATTATCGATACCATGTTAATAGGCCACTAACAATATGCCTATAAAGATATTAATACGCTGCTTATTAATAGGTAATAGTGGTACTGTAATAGGCCACTAAAAATATGCATTAATAAACTGCTTATTACACTATTTTGCAGTACCTTAATCTAAAGCGAGGAGCATTTTTGTTAATGCAGAAAAAAACACAACAATGATCTAAGATGTTTTTATTTATTCAAACAGCAACAATTAAAGTCTAAATGAAAAAATATATCAAAATTAAGTTTGTGCCAAAAGTTTGTTAGTAACTTCAAGGAGCCATGATGCCCCACTCATGCTCCGACCTGCTCTGTTAATGAATTTGGCTTTGGCAAAACAGTGAATCAGCTGACTTCACGAGCCTGAGAGATTAGCGGAACTCGCCTATTTTTGGGCATCGTCTGGTCCTCCCTGTTCTGCGCAGTGGACGAGCTCCCATGATGCTTGGCGCCAAATACGCTTGCGTGACTGTCATGCACGTGCACAGAGGGGCCGTGCTCTGACCAATCAGAGCTGCTGATCAGAGCGAGAGTTAGAGCGGGAGTTAGAGCGGGAGCCAGACGAGTAGAGTTTGTGGCCGTAAAATGTGGATTTAAAGGACAACTCACCCTCAAATCCACTTTTTTTTTTGCTGATAAACGGTATAAATGAGTGTCCAATAGTGTTGTCTACATATGCTGGTCATAATTTTGTCACTTTGGTGCAAATTAGTTGAAATTAAACTAAACTATTGTTAGTGGCCTATTAACATGGTATCGATAATAGTTCCGCTAATAGGGGTGTGACGATACTTTCTCCCGCGATTCGATTATCGATATGCATTTGCCAAGTATCAAGATCAATTTTGAAAAAAAAAAAAAAGAGGTTTTTTTTTCTCCTTTTTTTTCGTTTTTATTGGTATCAATACTTAATATATGGATACATTACACATCTTCATTCTATTTATCATGAAATAAAGAGTATTTTTTATTTTATTTATGCCATAAATTGGCATATTGTATATTTCTGACCAATATATCAATAATCGTCATATCGTGATAAAATCGTTATCGTAATCTTTATCGTGAGCTTTGTATCGTGTATCGTATTGTATCGTGAGGTACCCTTAGGTTCCCACCCCTGTCCGCTAATCTCTCAGGCTCGTGAAGTCAGTTGATTCACTGTTTTGCCAAAGCCAAATTCAAGCAGGGTGGAGCATGAGTGGGTGCATCATGGCTCCTTGAAGTTACTAACAAACTTTTGGCACAAACTTAATTTTGATATATTTTTCCATTTAGACTTTAATTGTTGCTGTTTGAATAAATAAAAACATCTTAGATCATTGTTGTGTTTTTTTCTGCATTAACAAAAATGCTCCTCGCTTTAGATTAAGGCACTGCAAAATAGTGTAATACTGTAAGCAGTTTATTAACGCATATTTTTAGTGGCCTATTACCACTATTACCTATTAATAAGCAGCGTATTAATATCTTTATAGGCATATTGTTAGTGGCCTATTAACATGGTATCGATAATAGTTTAATAAGCAGCTTAATCATATATTTATAAACATAACCCTCCTTTAATAAGTATCTTACTAATTACTTATTAAATGCAAGCATATAACTAGAACAACATCATTTAGAGAATAGTGAAATGAGCAGCTTATTAATATGTTTATAAGTACATATAACCAATCTATAAGCATGTTGCTAATGTCTATTAATACCTTATTAATACTTAACAAGCACACCTTAATATAAAGCGTTACCAACTTTGGCTTTTGGGTTCAGGTGCACGCACACAGAGACACATATGGCAGGTTCAACTTATTCAAAACTAAAAAAAATTAGGGATAAGGCTTGTTGTTTGGTCAGTAGTTGATTGTTTTGTTTTTGTGTTTATGGTGGCAGGCTGACATTTATGCAGTGATTCTTCGTAGAAAAGTCTCACAAGGGCGGGACTTTTCCTTGGAGTAGGTAACTGAGTGGGTGTAGCCGTTTAACCTGTAAGCTCCTCTATATAAGCAAATGCAGCAGCAGATAACTCATTGGAGACTGGAGGTGGACTGGAGTGGATATCATGTGTCTGAATACTGGTTATCAGTGCAAATGTCTGCTTGAGGGGGATCCCTGTGAACCGTGCAGGATGACAGAGAAACACAAGGAAGCAGAGGAGGCCCACCTGCCCAACACAATGGGTGTCCCAGTACGAGCCGGGAGCACCGGGGATCCTGAATTCACCCTCTCTTCCCCTGTGGTCACGCATATGGAACGGAGCCAAAACTGGGGCTGGATGGTGTCCGGAATCATCTGTCTGAACATCCTGATTTTGGGCTGTGCGCTGGTCAGTGGCAGCGCCTACGAAGACATTAATATCAGCACGGATCACCTGCAGATTTATCTCATCGTCCTTCTGATCCTCACCACTGCATGGATCATTTACTTTGCCGTCTACACCGCGAGACAGGAAAACGCAATTGTGTACCAAGACTCCCATGCAGGACCCATCTGGCTGAGAGGTAAGAAAGCAAATACAAGTATCTTCTACGAGTTCTGAAAGTACAGCTGTATGTTTAGCTACAATGTGTTTTCCTTTTTCTGCTGCAGGTGGTCTGGTTTTGTTTGGAATCTTGAGTTTCATCATGAATATTTTCAAGATAGCGAGCTACGTGGGTTACCTCCACTGTGACTCTGCTGTTAAAGTGGCCTTCCCTGTCGTCCAGATAGCATTCATAACCACACAGGTAAAATCAGTTTAAAAGACTACTTAAAGTATGCATCCATGGTTCGTGTATTAACATTACATCACAATATTTGTTTCAGACTTACTTGATGTGGTTTCATGCCAAGGACTGTCTTCAGGTGCAAAAAAACCTCACACGGTAAGCCATATCTTGTAATAATTCTTTGTTGTTGATGCGGCTGTGGCACCTAACTTTAAAGCAATGGGAAAAATGTAATAAATTCCATGTCACTAGTTCCTGGCTCTAAAACAATTTGTTTTTTATCGCCACTCTCACTCAGCCAATCAGATTGCAGGCTGAAGTGTCAACAAGTAACACACAGGGCTCTTTCTGTTGGGAAAAAAACATATTATTTCTTTATTTCTTCTTTTTTTGTTTATTTCTGAAACAAAAAAGTGAGGTACCCCAGCCCGACAGAAAATTACACTTATATGCTAAATAGTGTGAAATAGTGGTGAAAATATTGATTGAGTTGACATTTTGCTGCAATTATTTTTCCCCATTTCTGTTTTGCAGCTGTGGATTAATGCTAACCCTTTCCACAAACCTAGTTATGTGGATGACATTGGTCACAGAGGAATCGCTCCATCAAACAATACTTCCTGAATATCAACAAAATGAGAGCAAATCTCTTGGACGGAGCTCTTATATCTCCAAAGGTATTTACTCTAAAGCTCATCAACATCATTTCAAACCGCATGTTGTATTTTAGTAACACATTTCTGCCTCTTCTACAGCAGGTTATGGCGATGACAAGTGCTCATGCAGCCACACATCATGCAGCATCTTTAAGGAAGCCTACTACTACCTGTACCCTTTCAACATTGAGTACAGCCTCTTCGCCTCCGCCATGGCTTACATCATGTGGAAGAACGTGGGGCGGGTAGCGGACGAGCACAGCCACCACCATTTCAAATTCCGCCTTAGAGAAGTTGTCGTCGGCCCCGTTGCCGGAGTCTTGCTCGTCATCTCAGGCATAGCCACGTTTATTGTATACGAAATGGAGATGAAAATTTACAGCTACGACAGAGACGATTTGATGAACGACCACGCCCTCATGATCCACTTCGTAATGAACATAGTGATAGTTGCGTTGATGTCCCTGGCCACTCTCCTCGGCTGTGTCATTTTTAAACTGGACCACAAGAACCACGTGTCGGAGAAGAACCCCACACGAAGTTTGGACGTAGGCCTTCTTGTTGGGGCTTCACTAGGCCAATTCATCATCAGTTACTTCAGTATTGTAGCAATGGTAGCGACAGGAGCGAACGGTCACCTGAACAGGCTCAATCTGGCTTGGTCAATAATCATGGTCATTCAGCTCGGCCTCCAGAACTTCTTCATAATCGATGGACTGCACCGGGAGCCGCACTTGGAGATCCATCTGCCCACAACTGTTGAAAACCCATACCTAAAAGAGAATGACAAGACTCAGAACGAATGCATGGAGTCAGACTTGGACAAAAGGATGCCGGCTGCACTTGAGCATAAGCACAAACTATCCTGGAAGAGACGAGTTGTGAAGGAGGTCTGTGCCTTTTTGCTGCTGGGAAACATCATTGTAAGTGGATTTTTACATATCTGCAACTATTATCATATCTTGTTTATTAGAAAAAATGTTAAATGTGCTTTTTTTTTTTTTCTAGCTCTGGATTATGCCTGCCTTTGGTGCTCGCCCCCAGTTTGACCACGACACTGAACTTAAATTCTACAATTTCAACTTGTGGGCGGCAGTAGTGAATATTGGACTTCCTTTCGGCATCTTCTACAGAATGCATTCAGTCGCAAGTCTGTTTGAAGTGTTTTTGCGTTCATAAAATCTGTTTGTAAACTCAGTAAGCAAAATGTAAAGTTTTGTACTATAGGTAGTTATTTTATATTTACCAGTGTATCTTTATAGTGTTATTATCTGTACATTCAGTGTTGTAAATGTATTCATACTTATTTCAAATACATTAAAAGTGGGGTATTATGTTACTTTCGATTTGCATTACTTGAGGTTATATTTTGAGAATGTTCCAGGTCATGGACGCACAATAAGGAAGCAACACGTTTTAGAGAACTTATTACTCACACTTATTTGTTGCTGGAAGGAAGCAGACACACTCCTTAAGAAACACTGACATTGTGGATTTAATCATTACTCTGTCTAACTAGATTGTAAATAACGCATACACAAACTGGGATTGCTCAGGAGATAACCTCAATAAACATGTTAAGACATAGCCTGCTGTGTAGGCTGCAAGTCAAAATATGCTGTAACCTTTTCTCATGTCCAACAAACTTGTAAATAAAAGCTTAAACCATGAGTTGTTACTATTGTCATAGTTTGGAGTCCGCCTATTTTTTAAGCGGGGGAAAAATTAAAGATTCAGGCGCTGATGCACTATTGCACATTGCAATTCTTACAACATCTTACATAGCTTTGGTGTTGTCTTTGCACATGCTTTTTGTTTTCTCAGTCAATGGGGACTGTGTGCTCCCAAAGCTCAGAACATCTTTTGGACAATCCAGCTTCTCCTTTAAGGGGGTTAAACTGTGGAACTCTCTTCCCACCAGACTGAAACTACAGACTAATCTTCAGCAGAGAGCTCAAACAGTGGTTAAGATCCAGACAGACTTGTTCTCATGTGTAAACTGTATTGTAATTCTTTTAAATGTATTTTATCTTCTGTAATGTAAAAGCCCCCTGTTGACTAGTGTTGAAAATTATCACCTGTGCTATAACACTTACAGCAATGCATCTGGTTCGTCCAATGTTATTGTTATCTCCATACTAAATAAAAAATAAAATAAAAATAAAAATATGTTAGTAGGTCAGTTTAATAAGTGGCCTCCTACCTCTAATGATCTCTCTCTCTCTCTCTCTCTCTCTCTCTCTCTCTCTCTCTCTCTCTCTCTCTCTCTCTCTATAGATATATCTTTAGAGATCATTATATATATATATATATATATATATATATATATATATATATATATATATATAAGGCAAATACTAGTGCACCTAACAGGGTCCTCCACATGCTTTGTTTACATCCACGTCACCCGGAAATACTGTCGTCTTCCTTCGCAAACATGATCACACAGGTAAACATATCTATATAGGTCTTTGCTGTAATCCGTTGTTATTTTGCAGTTTTAACCATCAAAAGCTTTTTTTGGAGTAATATCACGCATTATTATTTCTATTGTTTGTGTCTTAATGGCTAACATAACAGCGTGCTCAGTGTGACGTCTGCTTTGGCTGCACATGATGACTTATAACTTTTGATTTACACTATAGGACAGAGAGGCTCCTCTTTTTGGTGAAGAAGATGATGGCATCAACACAAAAAAGTCCAATATTAAGTGAGCAATCTATTGATAATATCCAGTCAAGAGCTTCCACATTGCCTTAAGGATAGAACATTAATTCTTATTTTTTTTCCAGACATCCCCTGGTCTCCTTTTTCCACCTCTTTTTTAGGATCAGTGCCATCCTTGTGTACTTAATGTGTGATTTGTTTAGCAGCCGCTTTATTGCCTGCATGGTGTCCATCATCCTCTTACTGTCATGTGACTTCTGGACTGTCAAGGTGTGTATGAGAGAATGTAATGTACCTTATGTTTGCTTTTGCTGTATTTATTAGGTTTCTATCGTTCTCATCTTACTTATGTAGAATGTTTCTGGAAGGCTGCTGGTTGGCCTGCGCTGGTGGAACCAAGTGGATGAAAAAGGAAACAGCCACTGGATATTTGAGTCAAGGAAGGTTTGTGAGATATGCAGCCACTTTACTATTGGAAATTGTATGAAACAAAACTACAATGAAACGTGCACCAATATCTTTATCAATGAGCAATTGATTACAAGAGCATTTCTGGTGGTCCAAATCTCAAGTGTTTGCCTACACAATAAGTGTAGATGCCACATGTTTGTATTATAAATTTTACTACCTGATATTTATAACATTTACCTCGTTTTTGTTCTTAGCAAAAGCCACAAAGCCAGAGCACATCTCATGGAGCTGAAGCTCGCATCTTCTGGCTCGGCCTGGTTGTGTGTCCCATCTTCTGGATCCTATTTTTCTTCAGAACGGTCTTCTCTCTTGAAATTAAATGGCTGGTAAGTACTGATGCTCGAGGTGACTGGTTTAATTAGTTTACACAATTAATAATATGTTTGTTTTCCTCTTGCAGGCCGTGGTTGTAATGGGTCTGGTTTTACAATTGTCTAACCTGTACGGCTACATGAGGTGCAGACTTGGTGGAAAGTCGGACTTAAAAGAAATGGCTAAAGGATACCTGGGAGCTCAGCTTTTCAGACAGGTATAGAATGAGATGTCTTCACTGTGTAATCTGTGGTACATAATTAACTCTTCATTCCTTTTTTTCTCTATCTATAGGCAACAAAGACAACAGAAAACCCCTGAAGTGGTGCCATCAAATATGGGGATGTGTAGTTATTTTAGGATTCTCTGTCAACAATAATCATTCCAAAAGCAACCTTTTAAAAGGGTGAATTTACAGGTAACTTGGGTTGTTACTGTAGTTGTATTGTATTATTGTGGTACATGTTTATATTTTCTGTTTAGTTTTGTATATCTTGGAATGCAGTTTATTTTTTGTATGGATATTTATATATTAATAAAGTAAGTTGCATTATACAAATGGAAAAAAACAAGAATGTTTTTCTCACTCAGATTAAACGTGTTTATTTGTTGTAAGAAGCTGTCTATCTAATGTGCTGCTGCAAAATGTTATAGTTGCACAAGGTGTATCCACTAGGTGGTAGCATAGACTGGTGGTAGCAACACACACAGTTCAGACAGAGCACATGCAAAATGTGACTATTTGGCATTTATTCATTTGCTATCAAAGTTAAAATCCAGTTTTAATTGCAATATAATGCTACAATTGTTTTTTCTCAGTGGCGAGAGACACATCTAAATCTAATTATATGTATGAAGAGTGCTGGGAGTACTCTATTACAAAAATAATGTAATTATTGTAATGTATTACTTGTTGTTGTAACGCAGTAATGTAAGGCATTACAAATCGAAAAATTGGTAATATTTACTCGGTACAAAGGTCAGTAATTGCATTTAAACTCTGCTTCCGCTCAGCCGTTGGTGTGAAAGAGCAGAGACATGTAGCCTATGGGGAGATGAAAGAGTCAATATTAACAGAGATATGACCCTCTCAAGAGCCCTGTTTGAGAAAGACACTTGTCAACGGGCGGAGAATATGTGCGCGATGAGCGGCGACGCGGCGCATTTTAAAACAGCTGCAAGAATGATGCATAAGATCAAGTTTAGTAAATAAAGCGGTGAGCTTCTGTAAACCAATCCCGAGCCAGGACTGAACCTGAACCAAGATTAACCAGTTTACCTCATTGCAGAATCAACAATAGTATAAGAGCAAATAACAACCCCTTCGATTTTTAGACTGAAATGGATATATTGTAATAGAAAAAGAAAAAATACATGTATTAGAAAGGACAAACAAAACACACACATGATACACACGCACACACACACAATGTTTGAATGGTTTCCTCAGTGTTTAGTATCCCAAGCTGCATGGGACACCATGAGATCATAACACCCATTTCAATCTGGAGAGACTCGAACAGGCACAACATGGTATTAGAATTGTATGTTGGTTGGCAGGTAATCTGACACTGCAAGAGTTACACATAATACAATATTATCAAGATTACATTTATTGTGCTGGACAGAATGTGGTTGGGATTTGGTGCTTAGACCCCGGCAGAGCACTGCACGATTGCAGAAGGGGAAAGAGATTATGAGATGAAATCCCCCGGGGCCTAGACCCTGGTGGTGGTAGCCAGGAGAAGGATGAAGGAGCTGGCCTAGAACAAGGCGGAGATGGGGAGGAGGAGGGTTGCGGCATGAATGAAGCTGTTGCTTGGATGGAGCTTCTGTGTGATGTGAAGCTGATGCGGGCAGTGCCTGATTGCTGCAGGTGAGGATTTGCCTGAGGCGCTGCTCAGCTGAGTGTGATTGACTGATTGCTGTTGCTGTGGGCAACAGCAGGAGAACTGAGCGCTCCTGTTTGGCGCTCAGAGCTGGGTTCTCAGGTCTTCCACTCTGAATGTCCGCTTTTAGCTTCATTTTTCAAAGAAAGATTTGTTATTTCATGTATGATCAAAAACAAGAACAGATCATTTGAAAATGTTCAAAAACTGCCAATTTAAATAAACGAATAGATCTATGATCGAATTGAGCAAGGCAAACTATTCCAATCATATGCAACTTTAAATTTGAATGAATTGCGGCCAATTTCCTTTTAAAAGACAGAAACCTGAAAAAATAATAGATCATTATGATGTAAGTTATAAGAGGATTGAGATGGAGTCAAATATTGTTTTCGGTAGGGTGAGAAATCCAAATGATGATACTTGAACACAAATGAACAAAGATTTCCTTCTTGCTGATAGAGACAGTTCAGCTGCGAGTACATTTGACAAAGATGTATGGACATCTTAAAAGAACCTACAAATACTATTGTAAACAGCATCTAAGGAGTTGAGAGAAGTTGCTGAGACGCTCTGATAAATTATATCTGCGTAGTCTAATAGAGGAAGCAATAACTGTGTAGGTAATCTTTTCATGCAGGTAAAGATAAGATATGATAAGATAGACTTTATTGATCTCAAACAGGAGAAATGCACATGTCACATCTGGCATGGATAGAATCACTCAAGATTTGTGCAAAGAACGAAGTGTGCAAACATGTTAAATGCAGGATATGTTATGTACAATACAAATAAAAAAATCAATTCATACACTGATATAAGGTTAGGTTTAAGGTTATATATTATTTTTTTGTAGTGTAATACATTATTTTGAAGAAACAGTGATAAGTAATGCATAATTATTACGTTTTTTAAGTAACTTGCCCAACACTGTGTATAAACACTATAGCCCCCTTTTGAACAAGACACTGTTCCAGAAATGAAATGTATTTCTAGTAGAACTCAAAATGGTTAATAATACAGGTACGATTGACAAGAACATAAAACATACCACTAAAGTAACCAATGCATGAGAGACAGTAAAACCAGAAAAATATTTTGTCAAGAGTATCTGCCAGTCTCTCATATTTCTCTGTTTCTGCTTCCTTCTGATCAAGAGATTGTAAGAAACGGACCACTTCTCTGAGTATGCGAGTGTGTTCTCCTTCAGGTTCAGTCTGGATAAAACTCACGTCTGGTGTGGTCTCTGCAGAGGATTATAGAGTAGGCCATAAATAACAAAACTGCAAACAGTATAGTAGATTGTCTGAGATATGTACCTTCATCCATTACTTCATCCTTTTTAGGTGTTATCCATTTTGAACAGCAGCAAAAAATCAAACCTCCTTCCTTGGCCACTCGTGTGAGGATCATGGACACGAGCATACTCAGCACCAAGATGACAAGACAAACACAGAAGTGGATCCCTGTAGCCACAACAAGCAAATACTTCAGATCAATATGGCCACCAGAAAATCACAGTAGAGAAAGGTAGTTGTAAAAAAGTAAAGCAGTGCCGGAGGGAGACATTTGATAGGTTTATGGTGAATGGTCATGAATGTTAACGCAAAATGTAACATCTTAAGTAAATGATGTGAATGACAATACTTCCGTACTGATTATGGGACTGCACTGGCCGTCCCCAGGGAGCTCTCCATTGAGAATGATCAGGAACATGGTGAAGCTGAGCACCAACGTCACTTTGAAGGAGTTGCGTTCCCCGCACCCCAGTGGCAGTGCAAAGCTCACCACATCAGCCATGATGATGAGGATGCTGGGCAGCATCAGGGTGACGAAGGGGTTAATATGTCGTAGCTTCAGATCCACCTGAGGGTGAACAAAATGGTCTTCCATCAGTACTTTACTGTCCCATCAATGTCCCGGGGGAAATCTGTCAGGAACAGTGCTCTCGGTCACACCACTTGCATGTGAAAGCCAGACCCCAGAAGCTAAGCAGGACAGGGCCTGGTTGGTACTGGGATGGGATACCTCTGGGAACACCATGTACCACAGTAGGGCAGCTGTAAAGTGCCAAACTGTTGTTGTGTCCCTAGGCAAGATAATTCACATTGGTTAATATGAGACTGGTGTGTGTGTGTCAGTGAATATGTGTGTGAATGGTTTACATGACACAAAGAAGAGACTGTCGCCACAGACTAGTAGTCTATCACCTCTGTGTATGAAAAGAAAGAATAATGCCATGTGGTTTCTGAGTGTCCAAAAAGCGCAATATAAAATCCTTTCTGGAGCGGGAGGATTTAACCTGTGGTGCATGTTTTGCTGACAATAGAAAATAGAGCACCTGGTGGAAAACCACCCAGACTGCGGGACAAAAACACAATCATACAACCCAGAGCCATCTTACTGGGACGCGTGTACTATTGAAGAGTTCTGAATAGGGCTACTTTGAGAGCAGTATCTTTAAGTATGTGTTCAAATTTAGTATATATCTTATTCCTTCTTCCCATCAAAGTACAGCCCTTTCATTCGCTCCTTGATTCCTTTCCTGTGTGAGTTTAGTGCTCAGTGTCATGTGTAGACTTACTAGTATATAATTTCTGTTTTGTTCTAGCTGGTAGTAGAAAATACTCTGTGTTTCCCAATCTCCATGCGCCCCATCTTTCATAGTGACATTCCAAAGTGACATTTCTCCACCACATCCTAAAAATGACATTGAAATATGAAATATGTTTTGTCGTCAATCAGATCAAGACAGCATGAGAGTTGTGCTGCTTTGTCAAACTGACCTGAACTGAACCAGGTATGAAGAGCCACGGGGCAAGAATCAGCTGCAAACGGGTAATTGAACAGGTTGATTTCACAGTTGACCTCAGCGTTCACGATGACGTCATGTTTTAACGTGCCGTCACTTAAAACCACCAGGTCTTTTCCGCTGGGCTGCGATTCAACTGTTATTCTATCGGAAATTGAATCATGTATTTCATTAGACCTGTATATTATGTTGAGTTATTGTAGTTTGCATCTTACGCGTTGGTGACATAAACCGCAGGAGTCCACACACTGTCCACTGGCAGAGACGCCCTGTCATATGGGTAAACATTGGTATCCCATGCCATCTCCGGGTCAGTCCATTCCTGCATTTCAACAAAAAATGTTTTTATCGCACAAATGCAGACATATACATCTATCGATATGATACAAGTACACACTAATGTAGCTGTTAGACGGCTTATCAGGCGAAGTCTCTTTGTGTCCTGTAAAATAAAAGAGAAGACTTTTCAACACTGCAAAATGGTGTGAGTGCTAGAATTTCTTCAGATACACCTAAAAATTGACTTTTGTATATACTGATTCTACAAATATAAGACATTTTCTGAGGATCTATAACACAAGTATGGTTGAGTAATAATACATACTACTGCCAGAGTTTGATACTCCATTTCGGGTATTCTGACAACTGTGGTGCAAGATTCTGCCTGAGGCTGGGACTTCAGATTCTTCTTAATCAACATTTCAGCCAGACATCTGCGCGTGGTGCAATCAGACTCTGCTTCTGAAATCATTGCACAAACTTACATTCTTTCAAGTGCAAAAATCTATCACATGTTCCAGATGTTGATTAGGCCATTTCATTTAATATTTCTTTGTACACTACTTGATGTCACTTTGCCACAGCCCAGTGACTACACATGAGAATGAGCATGTGTATTTCTGTTCTGTATAGAACATCGATTATTACTGTCAAATTAAATATGAAAGATTTAAAATTAAAATTAAATAAAAAAAGAAGATTATGGTATTGAATGATTAAAAGTGAAAAAAAGAAAAACTTATATATCATTTACCTTTTATCAAAAGCAGAGCCAGAAGTGTTGTCCAGATTTGTAAATGCATGGCTGCATTCATTTTTGTAGTGTCTGACCCCTTCACACCACCAACCCAGTCAAAAACAGACCAGTCCCAGTCTGTTTCTGAGAGTTTTAAAGGACCAGCCAAAGTGACGTCTACATTCTCAAAAAATCCAATTCACATTTAATTAGCTCCTGATTGCCGTGAAAACAGCAGTGTGTGTTTAATGCATACTGTATGTGCGTGTCCCGTGAGACACTGCACAAACAGCATAATGAGATCTGTCTTATTGGGCCCATTGTGTGTGCAGTTGTGCTTTGTGCAGAGTGGCAGATAATACTGTATTTACAATGGGCCAGCGAGGATCAAAAGAGGAGCCAACTCTGCTGTCACGAAATGACAGCAAGTTTGTTTTGTCAGCTGGTTCAGATGTTTATTGGAGAAGCTAGCCATACTTAATATTTTAGCAATTTTCATATGTCACATTTTCTGTGAAACAAGTCTAATGGTTTCATTATTTGCGTTGACAGAAGTTACAAACTTTCAGGTTGTTTATTGTTTTATATTCGATCCCCATCAGCTCAGTCAAGCTGATGCTAGTCCAATAATGCACATAAAATAATTTTACAAAATGAATCACTGACTTCATCTTCTATGATTTTGCAGAGAGTAGATTTCAGCTTTACTTATTTGCTAAGTAGATGTGCGCACAATAAACATGCGACAGACACGCGTATTGTACGATATGTATTTTGATCTCGCTCATGCGTAGAGGCTCAAATTAAGCACCGTGTAAGTACAGTATGGCATAAACTATGCTTGGCTCATTTCCTTAAAATGCAAACTACTTTTAATACCCACCCAAAGGCGCTTCACACACACACACACACACACATACCCACACACCATGGAGATCTAATATATTGGAGCTAACTAGAGATGGTCCACTTCTATGGAGGACCAAAACTGTCAAAATGATAAATAAATGAATAAATAAATAAATGTCACATTCTGCCAATAATTATTAAGATAACACAACAAATAATGAGATTTAATAAATGTATATTTATGTATTAATTTTTTAATTATTTTGACAGTTTTGGTCCTCCATACAGGGACCAGACCCAGACGTTACATACAGGGAAATGAAGATTGATCGTGTGTGTACGGATGGCTAAGGCCAGGCTGGTCAGACTGAGAAGTAAAACAACTTACCATTACTTGAAACCAACTTAAAAAGGATATCATAATATCAAAATATTCAAAACAAAAATATAAAAAAGAATTTGTTAGACCAACCTAACAAATATTTGTTCATAATATGAATATTTTGAATAAATACTCATATATATTAATGAGATATTTTCTCAAATGTATCATAAATATGCAGTTTAGGTGTAGATGGTGAATAGACTACAGTACTCGATTACTGAAAATACCCTAATCCTTTATTCCTCCAGTTCTTATTTTTTTTATTTTTTATATATTGACATTTATTTAACCAGGAAATCCCAGTGAGATTTCAGAATCTCTTTTTCAGGGAAGCCCTGGTCCCAGACAGAGGGGAGCTACTCGATATGTGTTTAGATTCTTTAGTAAACTTGACAACTATAAGCGAGTGCTGTAACATTGATTTGAAAGGACTGTGTTGAATAATGTTGCATTATTTCAGTCCTGGAATAATGATCTGAAAGCTGAACGTGAGACGTGAGATTTGAACTCAAACAGAGCAGTGAGGAAATCACACGTGTCTCCTTTATTCTAATAAAATCCTTTACTATCAGTGTATTAAGATACTGACTGCAAACACATCAGATCTCATAAGTGTCTCAACAGCTGATGGAGTCAGATCTATCATGAGACTGATCTGTCATCAAACTCATCACAGTGAACTACTGCTCTGTGACATCACCTCAAACTACATGAAGCAGCTGTTCTTATTGCTCACATGTGTCATTGTGTTTTCCTCTGGACATGAGCTTTGTAAAAGTCACCAAACTGATCCTGTTACATGATTGTGTTACTGATATCTGGGAAAGGCCTGTATGACGCTGCCCCCAAAGCCCACTTAGGGGCCTGATGGGTCTGAGGGGCCTGATGCTGCGGCAGAGGAAGGCTGTTACACAGGTGTCCACGTGAAGGCAGTGTTGCACCATTATAATCTGTTTCTTTGAACAAACTGTCTGTAACATGGTATTCATGGTAAGAATGTTTGGCTTCACGGTTGCTGCTGTGAGTTACTTTACAGTAGTTCTATACAAAAATAAACTTGCCTTAACATTGTCAAACCCAGAGAAAGTCCCGTGGACACGGTAAGTGAAAAGTGTTACATTTTCTCCGGTGAAAACCTGGTGGGCAGAGTCAGAGCTGGTCAGGACACGGGTCAGGGAGAATGGAACACACTCGGAGGAGTCTTTCTGGACAAATCGTCATGTGAATGCGCTCAATTGCAGATTCAGCTCAGCAGAAGTTTGCAACGTGTTGCTTTGATTTTGAAAGATGCACTTTCCGTAACAATAGATGGTGTTTCATTGACACGCACTACCCACAATTCCGCAGTTTGCCATATTGTCTGTCTAGCCGGCGCTAGATGTAGGTAAACAAAGCGTAGCACATCACTTTTTTTTGCTAAAATATACCGACTACCTGCGTCGTTTGGGGGTGCAGTAACCGTGCAGATTGTGGGAACATTCCGAAGGTTATTACGAGCCAGGGGAGCGACTCTCGACTGAGAAAAGAACCCTTTAGTTGGGAGGATCAACCGAGAGGGATTCAACCCTAACCCCCTGAAAAACGGCACTTTAAGGTCTGTTCTGACCATTTCATAACAGGTAAGAGCTAGCTAAATCTGTGCATGTGTGGTTTATATTCAGAGCTGCGATATGACTGTGATACCATGTTCTTATGGGCCTCAAGCGAGCCCCTCTAAATGAATGAAAGGGGGAGGAGGAGGAGGGAGAAACAGGTGGTAGCCAGAAGTGATTTACGGCCTGTGATATCAACTGCTTCGTTCAAAATTAATTAATTGAAAGAAATATTGCATCATATACATTATGATCTTTTTTAGTTGTGAAACTGTTAAGTGAAAGTAAGCCCTTTCTGGCGAAGTCAACTGGTCTTGCCACATTTCATATGGATCCAAATCTCCCATCTCTCAATTTCTCCAAGGATCTTGCCTCACAGATTACTCCAGTGTATCAATATACTTAATGCGGTCAGTGTCGGCCAAATTCGTGGCTTTAGATGACATGGGGACAAATGATCCGTGACAAATTATCCATGACAAATTATCTGTGCAATATAAGCCAGACAAATAAGATGGCGTTCGCGCAAAGCATCATGGGTAATAAGCACGTGATGGAAAACCATCTATAGAGACATGCTCAATCTTCGGGGTCACTACCCCAAGCGCACCATCACCACGGGCACTACTGTAACCTTTACCCTCCATACAGCTCCTCTCTGAGCCTTTGGTATTTCTCAAGCTTTTCTTATTCTTTTTTTCGGATGTTACCATCGCTTGGAATTGCCACGTCCACCACCACGGCTGTCTTCTGCCTTTCATCAGGTTGGTTCGCCATTACCATTCGGTCGGTCTGTATTGTAATTCCCACAGGATCTTCGCACGCTCATTCTCCACCACCTTTGGAGGAGTTTCTCACTTAGACCTTGGGGTTTCCAGCCCATACTGTTTTTGTACACTGTGCCAGCCACTGTTCTTGAGATCATGAAGTCCCATTCCCAAGAAGTCCTATGGTAGGACTGCCTCTGACAGACATATACAGTGCCTTGCGAAAGTAATCGGCCCCCTTGAACCTTTCAACATTTCGCCACATTTCAGGCTTCAAACATAAAGATATAACAATTGATTTTTTTGTCAAGAATCAACAACAAGTGGGACACAATCGTGAAGTGGAACAAAATTTCTTGGCTAATTTAAACCTTTTTAACAAATAAAAAAACTGAAAAGTGGGGCGTGGAATATTATTCGGCCCCCTTGCGCTAATACTTTGTAGCGCCACCTTTTGCTGCAATTACAGTTGCAAGTCGCTTGGGGCATGTCTCTATCAGTTTTCCACATCGAGAGACTGGAATTCTTGCCCATTCTTCCTTGCAAAACAGCTCGAGCTCAGTGAGGTTGGATGGAGAGCGTTTGTGAACAGCAGTCTTCAGCTCTTTCCACAGATTCTCGATTGGATTCATGTCTGGACTTTGACTTGGCCATTCTAACACCTGGATATGTCTATTTGTGAACCATTCCATTGTAGATTTGGCTTTATGTTTTGGATCATTGTCCTGTTGGAAGATAAATCTCCGTCCCAGTCTCATGTCTTTTGCAGACTCCAACAGGTTTTCTTCCAGAATGGTCCTGTATTTGGCTCCATCCATCTTCCCATCAATTTTAGCCATCTTCCCTGTCCCTGCTGAAGAAAAGCAGGCCCAAACCATGATGCTGCCACCACCATGTTTGACAGTGGGGATGGTGTGTTCAGGGTGATGAGCTGTGTTGCTTTTACGCCAAACATATGGTATCTGCAATCCTTGAGATGTTTAAAGCTTGGGAAATCTTTTTGTATCCAAATCCGGCTTTAAACTTCTCCACAACAGTATCTCGGACCTGCCTGGTGTGTTCCTTTGTCTTCATGGTTCTCTCTGCGCTTTT